CTAGGTAAACGATTACAGTCGGGTGGTCTTACGAACGCGACTCGATACAATCCTAGCAACGGACGCGGTCGCGGCAGTCGTCTTCTCACGGGCGGCTGCAATCTTCACGCGTGCGAGTCGGTGGCGGGCCCATAGCCCCCACTCCGCGTGCCTTGCTGCACCGGCGGATGCGCTTCATCCCCGGCCGGCGCGCGGCTTCGCTCGATAAGGTAATTGGATGGGACTTACCAGAACTTCCGGTGCACTCGGATTCCCCTCTGGTGGTCCCTGGCTGTTTCCCTCGTCCTTTCGCTCACGGTCTCTCCGGATCGCTCTCTCGGGCTCGCTCTCTCGCGGCTTCTCGCAGTCCCAAAAATCCAAAATCGAAGTCCGTGGGAATTGCCAAATCGTCTATTTCACTACCTTTCCAAACCACTGTCTCACCAAAAAACCAAAAACCAAAATCGCACACACTACTTTTCCAACTCGCTCACTCTCGGTTCACGGTTCAAAACGAAGTGGGCCCCTTTTTGCCCCCCGGCCCGAGGATTCCCGAAGAATCCCGAGTTCACCCGAACTCGTGCGTTATCTCTCGCCTCGGTCCGCTATCCGTTTTTCGGCGCTCACAGCCCGCCAGTCTCTGGGCGGAGCCGATCTTACCCGAGTCCGCCCGATTTTCGGGCTCGGCGGTGCCGGTTTCTTTCCCCGGCTTCCCCTTGCCACGAATCTTCGTCGTCATCGGCATTCTCTCGGCGGCTTTTGTCGGCGGTACAGCTCTCCGTGCGCCTATGCTTTTATGTAATTGGCCGTCCCACGGACGCCACGTTACAGGACATATAATTAAAATTTATATGGACAGCAATTTTAAAAATATAAATAAATCGCTAGATAGAGATAAAATCTTTTAAAAAACGATAATTTATATTATTAAAGATCTGAGATATTAATTGCATTCGACTATATACCTAAATATGCGAGTTTCAATTACTTGTAATTATTGAGATAGCTTGGCAATGGCGTGTTCATTTTTTTTGGTTGCCGACTCCGAGCGGCGCGCTTCGCGCAGCAGCTTTGATAATATGATTGACAGATTGCAACAGCTGGCTAGAGTAATTCTTATATTTCTAAAAATGCATGGGAACTATAGGTGTATATATGTAACAAAAATACGAGTGTGTGCGTTACGTATACTATTAGACCCCCCCTATCTCAAATACAGTGTTGTCAATTCACCACAATTTTTTGGCATCAGATACATTTTTAATCAAAATTCATTTACGCGGACCGATATTACTTTTTTAGAACGTAGACAATCTCAGTAAAACTTTCTCTAAACCTTCCTTATATTGTTCACTACTTATTATCAATTTTATATATGGCTCGAATTTGTTTGGAAAAAGGGACGATATATCGATGTATGAGTCTATAACGTTATAAGGCCTATGCATAAAACTGAATAAAACGGTCACTTTTGACTTCAAATATTTAAGTAACGAGGTAAGCAATTACTTTAACACTAAACCTACCGACAATTTTTTATAAACGTATTTTTGGCTTTAAAACGGTCAAATGACCGCTCGATGGTAGGTTTAGTGTTAAAACTTCGTAAGAGCTTGCACAGTGTGTTGACAAATATACTGAAAAATTTCGAATTTATGGCATTTCATGCCATTGTCCATAGAAGCACCCTAATTATGCTACCCAAAAATATATGAAACAAAATATTTCTAAGCAGATATATTTTGCGTTTTATATCACGATATAAAATAATTGTTTTTTTTTAATATGCTGTTCATTTTAATACATATTATTTATGATATTACAAATTCAGACGGAGTGCCATCCTTCTCCGCTTTGTTTCTTCCAAAAAGTCCCGTGACTGTGACTATCGTGCGTTTTCATCATTTCCCAGCAAACACTGAATATAGTAGTTACATTACCTGGGTGTAACAAGTAATATAACAGTTTGTACATTACAAGAACATAACTGCTCAATGATATTTTCGCAAAGGTGGTACATAACAATGGGTATAACTATCATATAACATTTTGGTTATAACAACCATAATAAGAGTAACCAAATGAGTATTGATGTACATTGTTTTGTAAAATTGTAATCAAGCATTAATTTTATTATGCGTTTAGCGAATATAATATATTCGACTCTGATTATTAATAAGAGGTTGAAGAATTTTCAATCAACCGTAATGCAATCATACATTCAGGACTGAAAATTACAATACTTGAATAGAAATAGTTCATCTACATGGTATCGATAAATTCATAACCGACTAGAAATTTCGGTATACTCTGTGACAAGAGTCCCTAACCAGACACGGAGTATCCGAGCGAACACTAGTTCACTGCCGCGCCACTAGGTGGCCAAGGCAACTCGCATGAAAAAACGTAGAACCGGGTAAATAATTAAGCCGCTTCCAATATTAC